AACCAACCAACAAGCCCCAAACAAAAAATCCACCCCACCCTGATATTTTTAGTCCTACTCTCCAAACAATCTTTTTTTTTTTTTCTCTCAAGCATATGTACAGTAATAAAATGAAACACAGGACCATATCTTCTTACTTTAATAAACGTATTGCATGGCTGAAGCCATCTCCTTCTACCTGTACTCCTTGGTGAGGAATGTCCATATTAGATAACTAGGAATGAACAAGAAAAATGTTAACCCAAGCAAAAAGTCTAGCAAAACAACTGTAACTTTTTCAGGGATTCCCCCCCCCCACCAAGGGTGACAGATGTTTCAAATCCTCAAGAACTGGAAAGCCAAAAAAAGTCTGTGCAAACCTGTACAAAGTTGCCTCCCACCCCCTCCCCGAAGTGTGTTTTTCATCCTCTCGTTTTCCCTTTTCCCTCAACTTTTCAAGCTTTTTTGCAGTGCTTGGCATCAGAGAATCAGCTCTAACAAGCCTAGAGCAACCCAGTGTAGAACATCAGTCACCAGGGCTCAGCCAGTGGGTGAACTCCAAAGTGAACACATGACCGCATGCTGAACAGTCACATAGAGACAAGAGAATCAAAAGCAGTAGAGGGGAAGAAAGAAACGAAGTATTTTTTAATACATACCTCCATACGAAGCCCTATAAACGGCATATTTGTATCACACATGGCTACAATATGAGCTAGCACTTTATTGAAGGCACACATTTCTCCCGACCGTTTCGGTTTCTTAGGTTCTATGGAACATGGATCGCCAGATAACTAGAATTAAAATAAAGACAAACGTACTTGCACATTCGGAGTAAACATTTCGAAAAGATGTCAGAGACCAATCTAATTCACCCGAGTTTTAAATGAATCACACCCTGAGCACACTCCTGAAATGATCTGGTCCACTTCAGGACCGAAGCAATTCAGTTAAAGTAATTTTATAATCACCTCCTTACAACAGTGTTTACATACCACTAAGCCATGTCAGCCTGACCCCCAAGAAGTAACTCCTATCAGCCCCTGCAAGTCTTTCAAAGACAACACCTACATGGCACAAGGCACGTCACGCAGACACCAGCCCTCTGTGTACACAAGCTACCCTAGCTCCCTCAGCACAGCCCTCTCTGCCTTGGCTCTTCAGAAGAGCTGAGAAGGCCTGGCATGAACTAAAAGACAACTGTTGCAAAATAGTTTCCCAACATCTCCCTCGGGAAGTCCACAGAACCAAGCAGCAAACACAAGCGAGATGCCAGCCATACAAGCTTTTGAAACAACATGACTGAAGCTGCTACTGATGCTCAGAACGTGCATTTAGCTTTCATGCTCTAAAACTAGCCCAATGGCTTCTGAAGCACATACCTTGCGCTTGACACCACTTTTCATTTGTTTCCCACTTTTTGTGTCTAGTACCAACTCTTCAATGTTCGGTTTGAACTGCTGCAGTAAAAGTGCAGTGGCAGGGCTGTCATCTCCTTCAGCATAGCTCACAGAGAGAAAATGGTACTTGTACTCTAGTTCTGTGGGGTTGCCAGGAACATCAAACATCTCTACAACCTATATTTAAACAAAACAATGAAATGAGAAGATCCTCAAGCTAAGAATATGTCTACATCAGTTCCTATCCTCTCCCCCACAAAGAAAAGACATTAGCCTCCTTCAAGATATTAATACTGTTGGTAGGAAAGGAATCCAAGAAGAGGAGGAAGGCTAAACTTTCAGGAAATAAAGAGAATAGGAAGGCTGCTGAGTAATAACCCTTCATGTCCTCTCCTCTCTATAACCCTGACTGCTTAGCAAACCCACTGAACGAGAGACGGGAGGGAGAGGGGAGAGTTGAGGATTACACCTTTCCTTGGTCCTAGCTTGGTTCCTAATGTCAGAGTTAACAGTACAACAGACAAACTGGCTGGTATATCCACGAATGGGAGCAAAAGATAGAAGCATTTCTCAGTTACTTACAATGTAGTACTGTGGAAGGCGAGTGAGTTTGATAAACAATTTGTGTTTGGAAAGGCTTCCCACTGGATGGCTAGCATAATTAGCTAGTTGAAGAGTTTCACTGCTCACTGTAGGCAGATGTTTTATAGACTGTTTGCAACGTTGCTGTCCAAGCCAGAACCTTGCATTGAAATAAAGGTATTAGTACCCTGAGACTTTTTACATTATTCTAGTATACTGCTGTTTAGAGCATTAGTGTCAAATTGAGAGTCAGTCATATTCCAAGTCAGTATCTATCATTGCTGCACAAGTTATATACAGAAAATCACACAGAAAATGTCATGAGTTGATATTTTCTTACTACTATCTTTACATATTGCCTTCAGCTTGGGTAACAGACAGCTGTTAATTTAAGAAGAAAAGCCCTGAAATTATTCACTGAAGGAATACATAAATAAATTTTTAAACAACACAGTATGAAATTACAATATAAAACAGAAGGGACAAATAAAAAACCCATGTAGATTACAGTTATTTTATTTGGAATCTTCGATTATTTTTTGGTATAGAAAAGAAAATCTTTGGTACCATATGCTAGTAAGCAATACATCAAAGCTGGACATCACTCTGGATTATGTTATAAACAAACTCATCCACCTGACTAAGTTTGGACATGGAGAACCACATGCAAGACACCAAATTTATTCTAACGTTTGGAACTAAACTTTGTCCTACTCCAATGGATTTTGGCTATATTCTGGCAAAGCCAGAAAGACCAGCTAGGCTTGAAAGAGGCTCAGAAATGTGTGGCTTGTTTTTTCAGTCAAGCTTCCACTGAAAACAGCCGTGGGAAGTGTGGGTGCTCAGCATCTCTCCATCACGACACACCATGTTTATTCTCGTAGATACGTGTTAGATATAGCTGTCCTAAAGGGCATTTCGTAGAACTGCATAGCTTCCTCAAAAACTGCAGCACTACCCAAGCCATTATCTCAAGTACATTATTTATAACAAAGGGAGGTTGATTAGTTTCTCCAGGGTGCCAGTGCTTCATGCGTCATCAGGCTTCTTTTAGAAGCAAAATTCCTCAAATAGAGGTTTCACCCTGCAATTAGCTCAGAGTGCTGGGAATTTCCAAAATGACAGAGCAGGTGGAACACAGTTTCCATGCAGATGCAAACTGTATTTGTATTATTTGCTACAACATCTTATGGGAGCCAAATTTATCTTGGGCTTAATTCTCAGGGCTTCATGGAAGGAAGATCAGAGGTTTAAACCAGCAAGGGCTGAAGTGTTAGAAGGTAAACAGGTACTATTGAAATCATCCTAGGCCACTTCCTGGTTTTTCCTCCGTATTGTGAGAAGGGAGATTGTTCTTGCTGAGAAACAAGCAGAGTTCAGCTGTAGAAACAGAGTGGAATAAAGGAGATAGAAAATGAACATGAACAGAAAATGAGATCCTCAGGAAGCAAGTGGCCTGCTCCTGACTTAAAGAGAAAAGACTTCATGCGGAATGTGTGCATAGCGATGCGTGAGGCTACGTGCAAGGGGGAACACTAAAGGAAGACTATGGCATCGGCTCCAAGCAAAAGCAGAATTTCCTCCACCCATTTAGAGGAGATGGCAACTACTCAAGTTTACTTAGAACAGCGAGAAAGCACATCCCCTACTGTGGCAAAACACAAAGCCATGCAAGCATGATCATCCAAAATACAGATACGGTGATTTATTCTATACAAATGAAGGGATTCATTCAAGTCACTCACTTGAGCTGCTGAAGCCAAGGAATGATACGTTTCATATCATCATTAACAGACTTCTCTATGTCATCGAGTGTCAGTTGATCTGCAAGAACATTAGGGGAGTGAATGGCCTTAACGTCTGCTCTTCAAACAAAATTTTGACCTTTTAATGAAAGCGTCTTCTCTAATTTAACAATCACAGAGTCACAGAACAGCCCAGGTTGGAAAGGACATTGAAAGATCATCTGGTCCAACCTTTCATGGGAAAGGGAGACTAGGTGAGATTATCTAACACCTGTCCAATTGCATCTTGAAAAACTTCAGTGATGGGGACTTCACCACGTCCCTGGGGGTTCCAGTGATTGATTGTTTTCACTGTATAAAATTTCATTCTTATATTGAGATGAAACCTCTCCTGGTGCAACTTGTAATTGTTGCCCCTTGTGTTCTCCATGTGGCTCATTGTGAAGAAAGAGATTAAGATACACTAGCAAATAATACATAAGGATTGTAAAACCACAGTAATGTGTTATTAATTAAGCAAAGAAACCAAAATAACTCACTTTCCTCTTTTTCTTAAGTAATCTGAAACTTGAAGTTAAGACTTGAACAGTAACTCAAGATGTATAAGGTCTCATAATACAATTCTCCATCAGGTCCATATGAAATGACTGCATCCATTAACAGCACAACCCAGGAATCATGAGTCATAAGGAACATGCATTGCCACGATGCCTAACAATATTTAGTCTGTTGTCCTCTTAAAATATACCTGACTGGTGACTCTTAAGCACAAAGATCCACTTCTCTGTTCCTCAAACTCAAATACCTAGATGACAACCCAAGTGCTGTGTTCATTTGCACTACCCTTATTTACTTATAGAACTTCGCAGGTCTGACAGAACTGTTCGCACAAAGTTACCTCCTAATGCAGGATCCTTGCAAGACATTAAATACAACCTGGTTTTGCACCTACTTACCAACACCATACAGCATCAGTTGAAACATTCCAGAGTGGAGATCAACAAATACATGCAGGCACTCTGATCGACCACATGGTTCCAAAATTGGAATTACAAGAGTTGGAAGAGCCGTCTCAATGAACGCTAAACAAAAATTGATGTTAATGATTTCACACAAAATTCAAGCTCATCATATAAAACTTAGCCCGCTATAATCACAAAACCTGTTTTTATGGAAGTAATCTTCACTTGCACATTATTACACTGTTAACAGAAAGAGGGAACTGAATGTAAGAATTTATCTGTGAAAATAGTGCTACTAACAAACCAATGAAAGAGACAAACCAAATTTGAAGGCGATCATTAATCGTGAATACCTTTTAACTCACTGCTTCACAATTATAAAGTCAATTAAAATCCCAATAGTTTCAAAAACAGTTTAAGCAAAGTCTCATCCAAAGCTAGCTCAAGACAGTGAAGGATTTGCTTTCAATTTGGAACACGTACAAGTTTTACAGTAGGCAACTTTTAACCCTTCAACCCAGACTATAATGCTCTACCAGCTTCATCTACTATACTACATTTAGAGGTATGAGTATTTTACAATTACCAATGCAGAATAATTTAAAGCTACGTCTTGTTAATTCTGAACACATGTCCCTTTATTTTTTCATATTTTTTATTTAAATTAATGAAAACAAGAAACACCAAGAAAAAAGGAAACCATTCCTAGGCACAAATGCAAATTGAAACAAACTTCAGTAGAAAACACATACAATTGTCATTAACGTTGTAGCTCTTAAGAATGGCTTTCAGCTCCTGGAGTTTTTGGTGAGATCTTGCATGGACACTGTCTATTAGTAGCTTTTCTATTGATAGGTGGTCAATCTGTAACAAAGGAATGTACTCAAGCAAGTTCAAATTTGACGTGCAGAGTTTATGCATTAGGAGACTGGAACAAAGCTACTTAATAAAACGATCACTTCAGAAAGAATTTGCTTAGAACTGTGGTGAACCAAATGAACTATTAACTTGAGTGTTTGGATCACTACAAAATCCAACAAACCAACATAAGATTGTGCCTGAGAAGCAGGCAGTGGGAGTGTTTTTGAGAGATTAGAAGAAAATATAAAAGTTTCACAAACTACGCTGTTACCACTCCCTGTGCAGACCTACTTGTTCTGGATCAAGGCTGCAGCAGTTTCCAGCTTAGCATGCATCCATTTATAACTAGCTTAAGCTAAGGAAAAAAATAAAAAAACAAACACAAAACCCCCCCAAAACAACACTCTATTAGAATATGGTTGCCTCTACACAAACACATATGTAGCTGTCGCATGAAATACAACACACTAGTTTTAGTCCTGCTAACGGTGTAACAACGTGGAGAAGATGCAGTGGCAAACACTGAATTATGAGCAACCCTACTGAACCCAGGAGTATCTAGAGGCTTGCATCTAGAAGCTGTTGCACTCACAGTGCTGAAGCTTATGCCGCCACTTATATTCACTGTAGCTTACTTGTGCAACCTAAATTAAAGCGTTTGCATTTATAGCCATTCACATTACAGTCATATTATTTGCAAATTTTGCATAAGCAAAGCTACAGATTACTGCAACACTTTTTTCTAGCTAACCTCGCATCGCTTTGAAAACTGTTCAAGGTGAATTACACTCAAATTTTATTCTAGCATAAGAGATAAATGCAGAAGAGGTTTATACCAGAACAGAATTATACAGAATTTCAGTACATGCCTTCATATATATCAGCAAGACCTTCCCCTAAAGACTAGCTTTCCAAGACAAGGCCTTAAAAATCAAGTGTTTGTCCATCCACACGAGTATTTCAACTCAGCAGCTGCTAAGAGTTAAATCTTCCTCACAAACAAGTGACTACAGGTTCTATAGCTACGTCCAATTTTCAGTATGTTAATGTATAATAACCTGCTTAGGCAAACATATTTGTTCATGCCACTCTTTTATATAGTATCTTAAATAAACAGAAACACAGTGTGCTATCTACGTCATTACAGCTGAGATCATTATTCAAACACTAGAACAGCAGGGTATATACCATAGCTGATACATTTTTTAAGCTCAGAGAAAATAGTTATAAAGGGAGTCAGCATTAACTTTGATAAATCTCAAATTTACAGTGGCCTCATATCTTAATCCACAGTTTGTAGACCTGATTCAGTGAACTTAGATTGCGTCAGGTCCAGTGGAACTTCATCAGATGTTCTAGATAAAGCACATTTTCCTGGACTTAGGTATAAATACAGTATCTTCATTAAATTCACTGTATATTTAGTAACCTAAATATGTTAATTTAGGCTATTAAATGAGTAAATTTGGTATATATTCATTACACTAACAGTAAAACTTCTACTCTAGAAGTAGAGTAGAAGGCTACTAAGCTTCACTAAGTTTCCCACACTCCTCTGTAGCCCAAACATGTGAAGTTCTTGACATTCACCATATAGAGACTTGTCTGTCAGACTTGGTAAACAAGGTGGGCCAAGTGGCTCAAATACAAAGTATGTACAGTAGGTGAAGGCTACCATCAGTAGAAAGTTCTGTAAGACAGGCAAAGAATCTGAGCTGGGGAGTTTTTCCCTGTGGAAAAACTGTACTGAAAGTTTGAAAACTACACCATTCGCTCCAGTTTATTAACTCAGACACTGTAAGAACTAATGACAAACACACATCCTGATATATCACAGCCAGACTTGCTGGGGAGCTTATAGAAGACTTCTTATAAAACCTAGCACATGGTTTCTCTTAGATACCATTAACCAAGATCTAGAATCATCACCAGTGAAGCCTTATCCAAGTAGGAAGTTGATTGCAGTTACTCATTTTGGATCATTTCAGCAATCCCACCTCTAACATAGAGGAATGATACAAAGGCACATTTAAATAAGCCACATGACACAATCTGGTTAGTGACACTGTAAAACCAAGCTTCACCTAACACTTGTAACAAGCTAACCACATTACCTCTTTCGCACAAGATTTCCAAATCATAATGTAAGATTTTCTACGGCGAGCAGCACCGCTGGGTAGCCAGCTAAAGTGACATGGGGAAGCTGATTTTCCGAGGAAGTTTACACAGCATCTCCAAGACAGGAAAGGGAAGAACTGGCTCTCTATAAGGCATTTCAAGCCAAACGCTAACCATAACTGAAACTTTGCTGCTGCTTCCCCCCAGCCTCAGCATCCTGCCTTCTAAGTGGTATAAAAGGCACTGTGAAGTAATTTTTAAGATGAAGTCAAGGCTGATTAATTCGTTACAACAATTTTAGGTCCCAACATAAACACAACACAACCTAGAATAACTGTGGACTAGAAATCTTAGAAGCAGCTCTTTAAATAGAATCGAAGTGAAGCAAACTGATCATGCAAAGCATTTTTTAAGTTTTTGATTTATAAAGCTAGATGCCTACTACAAAGCAAACCTTTACCTTCATGGCTCTTTCCATCAGTTTGGAATCACAGGCTGGCAGTGGAGGCTCATGAGATATTTGTAAGGGTTTTGAGACATCAGTCTCATCAATCTTAATAGTGACCTTATGAACAGATGCAGTCCCTGTTTTCCTGCCAAGCACCTGTTGACTTAAAATAAAGACAATAATCAAACCATGTAACTGGAATAGCAGAAAATATGCTTTTCAGTAGCTAATCCTTGATTCTGAGAATCCTGGTCAAAAGTAAGATTATGTCAGCTGAACTGTAAAAAGCATTTGTTTCAGTTTACATTTTAATGCAAAACTGTTGATACACTATAACTTCATAAAAAAGTTGTAAATGGCTGCAAATTCAACACAATCAGAAGAGCACTTGCGCTGCTTTTTAAAATTTTAACGAGTGCAAGTCGAGCAATAAATACAGTAAAAGACTGACAAAGAACTAATTAATTGATTCAGATATCTGCATAAATATGAGCCGATTTATAACCGCATCCATTGTCCTCCTGTACATTAATGTACATCCTTCACTTCTTTGCAAGTCAAGCAACACGTTTAGGTACTTAATTACAAGAATTTATGTGTCTCACATCAAAAAGAAAGTACAATTCTGAAAATTCTGACTCGAGCTTAGTAAATGAAAACCCTCCTATTATTTCACTTATTGTTTGTTAACAACCCTTTTAAAATGAACTTACTTCCAAACAGAGAGCGAGAGACATTTCCCTGCATGATATCGCTCCACTTGCACAAGGTCACCCCAGCGCTCTCGAATCAGCATTAGTGTTTGTGAATGTAAGACTTCCAACTGAAGTGCTAAGCAGAAGGAGTCTGACAAACGGAGTTAAGAAAATGTAAGACCTCCAAAAAGTCCGTACGCTACATAAATCCATTTGTCACACAAGTCAGACCAGATGCTGTTTGAAAACACACTAACGTACTAATCCAGAGATAAAGACATATAAACAGTATCAAATATTTCTCAAAGGTTTGGGTTTTGGTTTTTGGGTGCTTTTTTTTTTTAAAATTCTTATCTAGGGCAGAGTGTTTGACAAGAGTGTCACAATAACTTTGTTTTATAGATTTTAACTCTATCATTTTTAGGGAAAAGAAGATTACTAACAAAGAAGTTCAATTCACCCTATGGTTACCACTAGCCCACCTCCCATGGTCACCCTAAAATAACATAATTCTGTTCATTTCTGCAGATACTGTTTCACTGAAAACTCTTTCACATTGTCAGGCAATTTGTCCTTTGCATGTAGAAAATCACTGCCCTACTTCCTGCACATGCTGTATCTTATTTTATTATTCACACAGATGCCACACAGCACACCATCATCACCTTACTGCAGTTCTTGGTAGTGAGAATTGTCAGCTCCCATACCTTCCAAGTCAGCACCGTATTCCACCCCTGAAATTAGCACGTGCAGCCAGCTGCTGCTGCACTAACTTACCACACACCCTCCTGTCTGGAGTACCTCACCTTTACCTTTGCTAATTAAGCGTGTAAAATCAAGTTTTAGACGCAGGTGCCTGAGAATAACTGTTTCCAAGGCCACCATTTCTACTCCACGTCCAGACATTTCCCTCTAGCTTAACAGGGAATCCATTTTTCCTGACCTCCAGCTACTCCGGAGAGCTAGGCCACATTAAACAGCTCATTCAGAAGCACCTTTCAGAAGGATACGCAGGCAGCTGTACATGTCTTGAAGTGGCTTTTCATCAGCAAACAGCCGTGACTGGACCAACTGATGGATGAAGTTGATCTGCATGCTGTGAACCAAGGCTCGACCATCTTTCATGGATTAAAAATAATTCACATTAGACATCAGGAAACTAGGCATTTAAAATAATTAAATAAATTAATAAACTAAAAAGAAAAACAGATTAAACTGTAGTGAGCAATTTCCATACCAGAATTTCTAAAAAAATAACAAAATCCTTGGTTTACTCTGAAAATCTCAGTCAGTCCACTACTCTGTCCCAGTCTACCACTGTTAAGGTATTAAAGGCATACAGAGCAAGGGAAAAACGAGATGAGTATATACAGCTTCATTATCTCAAGTTGTGATGTGCAAAAGACCCAGTATAAACAAGACTCATACAGCATCAGAGATGAACATCATGTTAAAAAGAAAGTGTAAAGGTTTGATTTTTTTTTTTTACCACCAGTTTCCTTGTCTTCAACCAAAATTTCCAGTTTGAGAAGGCGCCAGGGGATGTCAGGGTCATCACCCATCACTGTCAAGGTGGCCTCAAACTCACCCTCAACTCGGAACTTCACACGGCCATTGGCTAATGAAGAAAAACAAATGTTTTATTTCACTCAGCCTCCTAAAATGTCTCAAAGTATCAGTGTGGAAGCTCCTGGCACTCGCAACGGGTTACTATCCTATGGTTTCTGCTCTGTTGCATAAGGTTCTGAGCAACTCTGAAGACTTCACAGTTGTTTCTGCAACTGGACCAGTGTCAATAAGCAGCATGGACAGACATACCAAACTGTCTGAACAGCAGCACTTTAGCCATGGTAAATTGTTAACACCTGTGTTAGTACAAAAAACCAGAGTAACACTGAGCTAACTACCAGCCTGACAAGTTACACAAACAAAACATCTGGCTTAATTTTTCCAATTCTTTGCTATATCAACAACGAATAATTTAAGCAATATTCAAAAGACGTTCAGAACATGATCCCAGCCCAGGCTGAAATCTAGCCCTGGAAACACATCTCACTGCAAACCATTTATTTAACATTAAAATATTATAACTCCATTTTCATGGGAGGAAGATAATCTTTTGCATAATTTATATATATGCACATAAGCAAAGATTATGTACACTATTTATCTAATTGACATATATATCCTTACACATTTGTGAAGACTGCTAACAGTTTCAAGAACTGGGAACAAAGACTGTCAAAGCTATGTAAACAAGGTCACAAGGAGAACGAGCATCAAAGCAAACGATTTAGTACAAGTCCTTACTATAACCTGCAGGTCAACCTTCTTCTCAATCACTTAACAAAATATGCCATAGACCTTATACAATTATAGACATATACAAATATTGGCATAGAAATTTTAACCACTTTAACTCACCAAGTTTCATTTTCAGAAGCATCTCACACATGCTCTTAAAACAAACCAAACCCCAAACCAGAAAATAATAGCCACTGAAATGTTAGTTAACTGAAAAAAGCGGAAGAGCTCAGACATATATCCATTTACACTTCCGTTAGACAAAACCAGCTCTAATACTGATATTGCCAGCGTGCACATAGGGACCAGTGAAAACTACTAAGATTTTTCAGAAACATCTTCACTCTAGGTCTGTGGGATATGGTTTACACATGGCTAAGCTTGTCTTCACTAAAAGCATGGACTAGGTCCATTCCAGCCCTATTCTTTGTGACTCTGCAGTAACCTCGTCCAGTTTATAGCCATCCTTCCTGCAACAAAGGTCATCTTAATCTCTAGCACTACTTGGGCTACATGAAAACAGAGCTCTGAAAACAGATTAAGAGATCTGGCACTGCAGTGAGACACAGAACAAAAGGTAAATGAAGATACAAACAAATTCTATGCATGAAGATGAATGTCAAAACAGACTTAAAAAACAACACTAGAGTGACTTGTTTAAGCTAAAGTTCAAAGAGTTTCTACAGAAAGATCTAACAGTTTGATTAAACAGTGTTTTAAAATTAACTTAAGATAAAGTAGCTACATCGTTAGGCCTAAGACTCTTTCATAACACATTTGCTGAAAGAGCAAGACAATGTCTACAACCTTTTGCCATTACCTGCACAGGATTTAGTCTTGAAAGTAAATAATATTTCAGCAATATTATCAGTGGCCTTTTTTCCAACAGGGGAAAATACACATTTTAATGTCATACAGACAGAGGATCCCAGCCTTAATAGATGAAGCATGCCTAACGGTCTCACTTAAACTATGTTTTAGCTTTGCTTTAGCACTAAAGTAATACTTTTACATCAGCCTGCAATAATGTATTCTTCAAAAAGCAACTCTAGTTCTTACCAACTGTAAGATTTGCCAGCTGTGGAGGGAGATCTGTAGTCACAAGTCGGTGTCGAAGAATCTGGTTTAGCTGATGAAGTGTGGTTTGCTTCTCACTCTTTGTTATTGGGTCAGGAGGGATTATTTTATCCTGTTAAAATAAACACAAACAGGTCTACGTATCTCAAATATTTATAATACATTGACAGTAGCCATGGTGAAAACTAACCAGACTAGAAGTCTGGAAATACAAACACTACAGGCCATTACAGATGAGAAAAGTTTTATATCTTACACTCAGACTTGTTTTCTAGTTGATTACATTTTACCTGAGACTGACCACTGAATAAAATTGCTCAATTTGGATCAATTAAATAAATTCAGGGCCTTACATCAGGCTAAACTTGTTTTTAAATACTAAGATTTGAAAGCAAATCCTCATCTGTAGCTATAGATCTAAGTCACAGGTACTACTGTTTATGTTACTTCATAAAATCCTGTTATTTTGCATTTTAACAGTAAGAAAAGGCAGCAGCACTAAAGAGAGCTGTTAAGTATTTCAGTACATTTCCAAATACAGGCAAAACCTGTAAGAACAGTCAGTATCTCCTTTTCACATTTCATTCTTCTAGGATGGTGGCTTAGCACATGCAAATACTTAAAGAATCAAGGAAGAAGAGTTGCTACTATATTCATCCTAGAGCAGAACTAGTTTAAGTGGAGAGAATGTTTTACTGTGAAAACATAACTTGTTCAAATAGGAAGTGCTCTGCATGAGAAACTGACACTAAGGAGACTTGGCACTAGGCCTGTATTAAACTACAGTTCCATTTGCACATAGACGATTAGTTTCATTAACATGCATTTGATACGGTACAGGGGATTTTTCTCCCCCCAGGCATATGGCAGCATTATTTACCCTAATGCAGGTAGGCAGACGCGGGTATGATCCAGTTGTCAGAACATCAATAGCATACGGGATAGCAAAACTAGGTAGACGAGCATGAACCAAAGCATCTCTAGCTAGCGATGCCAGACGATCAGCAGTGTCCACAAACAGAATGGCTTGCTGATCTAAAAAACTTGATATCATCTGTAGAAGACAAGGAGGAAAAAAAAAAAAAAAAAGTATGTGTCTGTAAAATGCACAAATCAATGCCCTTTTATACTCAGTTCATCTAGTGCACACGACCAAGATGATTTTATCTGTCACTTCCAATTCAAGTAATCACATCGATAAAACAAAGAAAGAATTAGTATTCCGGCCATTTCTTACATTCACATGCAGGGACACTTTAAATCTGCATGCCATTTCTGATGCTGTGGGGGATCTGTAAAAGCCTCACAGCTCTTTATCTGATGATTGCTCCTGGAATGCAATCATACTTGTTTGTAATCACTCGGGGCTTGTTTTTTGCAACATTTCGGACTTTATCCTTACTTAACCAAGAGCAGGATGAAAGTGATAATAAGAACTAACATGCCAAGATGATCATCTTCCCTGTCCTATCACCTAACCCCAAAGCACTCCTGAAACTATGTACAGACAAGCCTTTCATTTTTTGCCACTGATGAGTTTTTGGGAACATGAACTGTTAAAAGACAAGAGTATACAATTTCTAAATAGGAAGAAATTCGTTACAACTTAATATTAATTTGCCTATGAAATAGGCTTTTTTTTTTAAAAAAAAACCACTTCTATAGTAAGGAGAAGTTAGAGTATACCAAAATCCCATATCACTTCAAGATTATCTCATATCAAACTCAGTTGCTAACTTACCGCACATTTTTCCACCTTTCCGGCGTTATTAGCCCATTTGACTAAGGCTAACAAACGAACAAACAGTTGACGAGTGCGACTTGCAAACTGGACTATTTCTATTTTTCTGGAAAAAAAACAAATGTACATTAAGCCAGGGCTCAGATGCATGATAAAGCTGCAATTTAACTCTGTGCTGATAAAAAAAGCTGTAATGATAACTTCTAATTGTGTTAACGGAGGCATCACTAATATATGGCTTGTTTGATTAGAACAAGAGAAGAAAAAAAAAAGCTCTGAATACCTAAATGCTAACAACATACATGGATTCTAACCAACCAAAACTGTCTGGGGAAACAAAAAAGCATATTAATATGAATTAATCACTGATTTTAAGAGAAACAATTCCATAGTGAACTCAACTGAATTATTTTTATACCTTTTACAGAATATCCCCAGCCTTATGATTAAGTTTAAAGTAGACAAGGCAATATACCTAAGGGTTACTGGACCTGGCAGTAACATTACACTGACATTCACTAAAAACAAATAAATAAATTTGGTACTAAACAAAATATCACTCCAGTAATTTTAAGATGTCTTTACACAGTATGTTACAATATGCTACCATTTTGCCAGGAAAAAGGGTGGTGGTGGGGAAGACCACAAAAACCCCCACCCTTTTACTTTCCTCTCCTTTCCTGCCTTGCAAAGAAATGGGGATAAGGAGAATTTACTGATAGTTAATACTCCTCTCACTGTGCTTTGTACGAGGTAGTCAAAATGAGGCAGTGTACGTCTGCATGTCTTAAGAGCTATTTTTCGTAAAAGGGAATGTAATAGGGCCACACCCAGATTTTCCCCCTTCATTACAGATCTACGCTGTAGATGCATTAGACAAGACATACAGATCTACAGCGTAGATCTGTAATACCACACACTCTGAAATACCATTTAATCTAATGTTCCTGGAGGTTTCCCTTCCTTTCTACCTGTTCAATTCACTAATTTCATCACGGTTTTCCAGTTACTTTGGAAAAAAAACCAAGCCCAAGATGTTTTTCTGATATGGTTTTCTAAAGTAACAAAAGCATTTGGACAAAAAGAACATTAATCAGTGCAACAGATATTGGCCTCTACCAAACAGAAGTTGCACCTCCTTCTGATCCTAATCTGTAAAACACGTAATATAGATAGAGCCTGTTTCTGCTGAAAGTCTTGTTGTAACGAGGTTAACTCTTTTGTGCAGTTAAGTAAAGCATAATCTGCTTGTAGCAGATGAACATTTAGGGCAGAAGCACAACCAATACCATCTGGTCCAGTTTCTTGCATTACATACTACAAACCTCATCCAAGAACTCGGGCATTAAGCCAATAACTTCTCTGCATTCTACAGCATCTGTTTTAGAATGGCGCTCAGCCCGATATTAAGATTTCAAGTGGTGGACAAGCTGCTATACGTACATACTGCTCTAACATTAACCACACTATGAAAACAAGATGTTGAGAATTTTTAAAGATACAGAGAAACTTCGTGGTATTTGAAAGATGTCTACAGTGAGACTTTAGAAAGCCAGTAATCTCTCAGACAAACTCCATACATAAATTGCTAAAATCCAGCAGTTATGTCAATCAAATTTCCGTGGTGAAAACAGCACGATAGCAAGAAAAATTCAAACTCGTGTTCTGTGACTGGAAATCAAAGGTAGACAACACCGCACCCACCCACCCCTCCCCCCCAAGAAAAAAAAAAACCAAACAACAAAACAGAAAAAAGCACAGCAACTTAATAATGAAAATCATTGATAAAACTAGACACAGTATTCCAGTAACTGTCCCATTAATACCACACGTGTGAAGTTAGAGAAGACCTGTCACTTCTACTTAACAGAATCCTGCTTCCATGACCATCATCCCTGAATGACAATTGCACTGGGATGTGACCATCATCCCTGAATGACAATTGCACTGGGAATTCACATCTGCCTACTCCTCTACTAAGAACCCAAAGTCTTTCAATTTTGCTGCATTCCTTTGTGCTTCATCATAGATACAGGACCTTACGCTAGGTTGCACAAAAAATTTTATTCAAGAAAGATGAAACTTAAGGAAAGAGTCCATTTACAAGGGCTATAAAAGCAAAGTACTTTAAAAACCTTTCTAACAACAACAGTACTTGGTGCGTTCTTTACCTTTGGTCTTTACTGGTAAGTTCTGATCTCGGGGGTTTCAGATCCTTCAGACTAGTGGCTGAGTCTGGGGGAGTGAGTGAAGCATTAGCTACAGTAGAAGAGTATCAAGTTAAGGACTACTTAAACAAGCTTGACATACAAAAGCCCACTGGAGAGGATGGGATGCATCCAAGGTGAGGAGGGAGCTGACCCATGCCACTGTAAAGTTGCTTTCTATCATTTTCAAAAGGCCACAGTAGTCTTGACGACTGGAAAAAGGGAAACATCATGCCCTTCTTCAAGAAGGATCTAGGCACCTACAGGCCAGACTGCCTAAGCTCAGTTAAGAAGAAAATTCATATAACAAATCTTTCCAGAAGCTATGTCCAGTTAAATAATGAACATGAAAGTAGCCTGGGAACAGCCAGCACAGATTTGCCAAGGGCAAACCATCCCTGATCAACACAATTGTTTTCTACAGGACGAACAGCTCTGTGATCAGTGGGAGAACAGAAGATGCATTTACATTGAATTTTGCACAGCTTTTGACAAGATCTCCCATAGTACCCTTGTAGCCAAGCTGGTGAGATACGGCACAGGTAGGTGGACTACAAGGAAGGTGAAAAACTGGCTGGACTACCAGGAATAAAAGGCTGTGAGTGGCTACTAGTTGGACTTCTTTAATGCTGGTTACTAGTGGTGTTCCTTAAGAGTCAACACTGGGGCAAATATAATTTAACACCTCCATCAACAACCTGCACGATGTGAAGGAATGCACTCTTTGGAAGTTTGCAAGGTGATGCCAAATGGGTGAGAGCAGACACAGGGACCTCAGCTGGCTGGAGGAACTGGCTGACAGGAACCTCATGAAGTTCAGCAAAACCACATGCAAAGTCCTGCATCTGGAACCAAACAGCCTCATGTAAAAGCAGAGGCTGGGTACTAAGCAGCAGCTGGGCAGCAGCTCTGCAGAAGTGGGCCCGGGGGTCCTAGCGCACAGCCATCAGCAACACACCATTGCTTGCAACAATGGCAGGCTGTATTAGCACCAGTGCAGCCTACGTCAAAGAAGGTGATTATTCACCTTGAGTCAGCGTTTGTGAGACTATGTCTGCAGCACTATGTCCAGTTTTACACTCCCTAGCCGAGAAAGATACTGCCATACAGAAGTGGGTGAGGCACTGGAACACAGGACATACAAGGAAGGGCTGAGGAAGCTGTTTGCTTCTACTTAAGAAGAGAAGGCGATGGTGAGATTCTACTGCCATCTTCAAATATTGTAAGGAGTGTCATAGAGAAGATGGAACAAGACTCTTCTCAAAAGTGCAAAAGGCTGAGGGACAACAGCCACAAAGCAGAAAAACTAGTTAAATATTAGGAAAATAAACACAAACTGAGGTGGTCAAAGACTGAAGTAGGTTGCCCAGAAAGGTTGCAGGATTTCCATCCTTGGAAATACTTAAAACTCAACTGGATATGACCCTGAGCAACCTGAACCAACTTTGAAACTGTCTTTTAATTCAAGCAGAGGGTTGGACTAGTTATCTCCAAAGTAGCATTCCAACCAAAATTATTATCCATGTCTATGAAAGGAGTGAAATAACAGTCATTTTGTCATTAGAAAAGAATGGAACTCAATGTTTCACAAAAATTAGGTGTGTAATTGCACTGTTGTCAAAGTCAGGAATAACATGCGGCCTTCCAGCACTTAAAGGGGGCTACAAGAACGATGAGGAGGGACTCTTGATCAGGGAGTGTGGTGATAAGACAAAGGGTAACAGTTTCATAGATTTGTATTATATTGAGGAAGAAGTTCTTCACTATGAGGGTGGTGAGGCACTGGCATAGGTTGCCCAGAGCAGCTGTGGCTGCCCCCTCCCTGGCAGTGTTCAAGGCCAGGGTGGAGGGGGTGGATGGGGCTTGGAGCAACCTGGTCTGGTGGAAAGTGTCCCTGCCCATGGCAGGGGGGTTGGAACGAGATGGTCTTCAAGGTCCCTTCCAACCCAAACCAGTCTGTGTTTTTACAACAGTTCTGAATGCCTTTTTTTTTTTTTTAAAAAAAAAAAAAAAAATCTTGTGTAGATGATAGAACCTTTGCTGCAAGTTTGAGAAGTAATAGTCTTGTTCACCAACTACTGCAAAACCAGTGGGAAAACTGCCTGATTTTAGGAAAACAGTATGTTTATATAGTTCT